GCAATATTAATGCACATGTTCCTAACTTCGCTCCAATAATCTTCCCTGGTTATAGTATCGGGTTCTAAAACCATCGGCTCTTTACTTGAAGATTTTGCTTCCCGTGTTTTCGATGGTTTTTCAGCTTTTACTGGAGATCCAAAATAACTTTTCGATGGCTTGTGAAAAGTTTGTAACTTTGGAGTGCAAACTTTGCTGAGAATCATTTTCCCTTCTCTTCCCTGTAAAAGAAATATATTCAAACTCATATAAAAATTTTATGTATAAACATAACTCTCGTGTAGTCAATTTTACCATTTGTTCCATTGACCACAGAAGAACTGCAATGTGTTTACAATGAGCAGTATCACCACTTCCAGCAGCACATTCACAATGACATCCTTCTATGAATCCATCGTAGGACATTTTTATATCCGATCTATATTGAACAGACTTCTTCATCTGGGCCAAACTGTGTCCTCTGACAAATAATGAATTGTTTGCTTCAGCGATTCTTGCATAAAGCAAATATTCATTATCGTACATTTTTTTTCCAAGGCTTTTGTTCACATTGTACCTAAAAAATAAAATAAGTTAATATTAGATGATTCGTTAATTAAATTAATAATATTAAATGAATTAAGATTTTTTACCTTTCCAAGAATAATTCAATTTGGTCCTTTGAAATCAAAGGAAATTTGACTTTCCATTAATGTCCCTGTACTCTGAACCATTTGGTGTCCAAAATACAACATCGGGTTCATGATGCCTTGATGAATAAAAATCTGTGTTCTTATCGCAGAATAGTAACCTAGAAATGAATTATTTATTATTAACTTAATTTTTAAACAAAAATTTTTTCTCCAAATTTAAAATATTCGACCGAAATTAAAATATTTCCCCCCAAAATTAAAATTTTATTTAATCATTAAAAATAAAATTTATAATTTAATTAAATTTTAAAAAACAGGTTAAAAAACCGAAATTTGTATCTAGATAAGAAAAACCGAATAGAAAAATTGGACCTTAATTGAAATTTTCAAATGTAAATAGAAAATGTGGATCTGAATTGAAAACTTCGAATCTAAATTGATAATTTGGATTTACATTGAAAATTTCGGATCTAAATTGAAAATTTGGATGTAAATTAAAAATTTTAAATGTAAATTGAAAATTTTGAATGTAAATTGAAAATTCAAAGTCAAATAAAAATTTTGTATCCAAATTAATATTACTCGACCGAAATTAAAATATTTACCCTAAATGAAAATTTTATTGAAATTTTAAAAGTTAAATCAATTTTTTATTTTATAATGTAATTAATAAAATAAAATTAAATTAATAATTTATGTATGTTTCTTTGAAACACAACTACAATGCAATGCAATTTTTCTTTTAAATCAATTTCCGGAAAATAATAACTAATATAATATATAATAATAAGGAAAGAAATTGTATCAATAATAATTGAAATTTGTTTATTTAAATATTAATTTTTAATAGTTGAAATATAATTAATTTTTCATTGAATATATTTAAAGAGTGTACGTATATTTATAGGTTATATTACACATAAAAATCAATTAAATAACTTTCTCCTTACCTCTTTTGCAATTCTTTTTTCTTTTCGGTAGTCCTGAGTCCACGATTTACCAATTCTTTTTAAAACTGGGCATTTGTCCAAGAAAAATATTGATTTATTTCACTCATAATATAAATATTGCACAAAATAATCACACAAATTGCTGAATTTAAATACCTGCGCTGGTTAGTCACCAGCAGTGATGCTGCCATCTACGTCGAGCTTTACGTATAACCGACCCCATTTTGAATTTTGTCATCCACCATATTGGATCCGCAATTTTGAATTTTTAAAAACTGACACCGGAATTGTAATCAGCGCCTCCGAAATCCCTCGAGTAGTTATTTTCGTGATCGTCGTTTTACTTTTAAAGTATTCTCTAGCAAATAACATCTTCTTTCAAAATTCGTTTAAATTTTTGGTCTGGAAAGAAGAAAACCTTCTGCCCGTCGAGGTTGTTTTAAAAACGTTGTTTTTGGTTGAAGTGATGTAAAGGTGCCATTTTGAAAAAAAAATTTTTTTCGCTTTACTTTAGCTTAATACATGTGTTTTACTTTGAAAAAACCCCAACATTATTTTACTGTACCGTTTTACTGTTTCTTAAAATAAATTATTGAAATAGACTCTATTTTTTACGTGCTCTGGGTGATGTTACCCCTTAAGAAACCTTTATGAGTATGCAAAGTTTTCCAGAATTGTACACAAAAATTTCCACCCAAGTAGCATGTAATATTACAGTAACATTACAGTAATATTACTGTAAAATTACATCAATATTACTGAAATATTACACGTTTATTAGAAATATATAAAAAATTGATAGTTTTTTAAGATAAAACACAAAAAGATAAGAATTAATCATTCAAATATTTTTTTAGTGTTTTTTGAAATTTTTGTAATTTACAGTAATATTACCGGGTATTATAATTTAATTAATTTTTAAACAATTTAAATTGAAAAAACCCGGTCCTCCATTTATTTATTTATTTATTTATTACATTTATTATTATTATTCATACATTCATACATTTTTTTAACTAAACTTAAAAGATTGCATTTATTTATAATAAATAAATAATAAATATATCTACGCATATTCTTTGACTTATGAAAAGTACTAAGAAGCGGAGATTTGCAGATGAGCATTACGGACTTATAAATAAAGGGACAAAATATAAATAAAACAACAATTCAAATCAGACTAAGTCAAAACTATGAGAAGACCCTGATCCTTCAGTCACACTCAAACGCTCCAATAGAATTACCGACAACAACTTAACAATCTTTTTTACAGTTTTTGTATCCTGTGCAGACAAAATTCTTAGCCAAACCGTCATCTTATCATTTGCGCAAACGATCTCTGGAAAAGTTCTCTCGCATAAATGAGCACAAGCAGGGCAATCGATTAAAATATGAAACAGGCTCTCCCTCTCCCGCCTGCATGAAGGACAAATTCTTTCCCAATCAAACACGTACTTCGAGCGGCCCAAAAATACTCTACAATTATATTTATTTAACAGTCTAAGCTGAGCAAATATTTTCTTATAATACAGCGAGAGTCTGGAAATAAGGTATTGTTGAGTCTTGTTTTGTAGCAAGAGGTGTGGATATATTATTAAGCTGCTCGACTCCAAATATTGTTGTCTATCGCGAAATCTGAGAAACCGTTCATAGTCCCGCAGAATAGCTTCCCTATTTGCACAAACCGTATCCAAAGATAGAGTTTTCCATGATTCCGACTGATCACTTCCCTCAAAAAACGCGCTTAGTTGTGAAAACCAGTTGGGCCTTGAACCGGGCCTCCCCAAAACTATTTCTCTAAGCTTCTCGAAACACTGCCTGGGAAACGTAGTATTATCCATTGAAGAAATTTTGCAAATCCAGTTCAGTGTAGCAGATAAAACTTTGTGAGAAAGATGAAGAGACCCAGTCTCTAGCCTTACTGCATAGTTTGGTGTATTAACAGGCAACGATAAGAGACTCTTAATAAAAGAGAGTTGAACTCCCTCTATTAAATCTAAATGGTTAATACCCCATGTTTGGACACCGTACAAAAGAATACTCACCGCGAGACTCAAAAACAACTTTTCATAGGACTTCCAGGTATCCATACCAAGGGAATGAACAGCCCCCGAATAGCCCCGACTGCTGACTTTGCCGCGCTTACAGATTTACTTGCCGCCGGGAGAAAAGAGCCTGATTCATTAAAAATTACTCCTAAATACAAATATTCCTTTACTACCTCAATTTTTTCTTTACCATATGTGAATGATTTGAATTTTTTAGCAGAGGATTTTCCAGAGCGTGTAAAAACAACAATTTTTGTTTTATTGGGGTTCACTATTAAATCGTTTTCCCTACAATAAGAATTCAATGACGACAATATTTTGCTTAATTCAGTTGGGGAGTCTGCAAGGATGACATAGTCATTAGCATATCCCAACATTAATATTTTTTGAAATCTACTAATAGAGAGACCTCTGCATTCCCTTTTAATAAAATATTACTCGAAATCACTAATAAAAAGTAAAAATAATAGCGGACTTAAAACCTCACCCTGTAAAACTCCCCTGGTAATTTTTACATAATTAGTACATCCATTTTGAGTTTTAATACAGGTAAAGGCGTTCGAATAAAACTGAAACAAGATATTGATAATTTTCGTGCTCAATCCCAATCTTTTAAGTTTCATCCATAAAAGTTTATGTGAGACGGATGGAAAGGCACCCTTAAAATCAACGAACGCGGCATATACAACTGAACCCTTAATGTTTAAATGAATTTGTATTATTGACATCAGAGCAAAAAGATTGTCCTGACAACTTCTGCGCCGTCTGAAACCGGACTGACCCGGTCCTCCATTTTGTTTTTCATCATAGAAAATATTTTATCGTATTTCGGACAAGCTTACTTTTCAACAATCTGGTCCCGTTTTATTTTTTCGAATGTGCCCTTCGAATTTTTGCCCTGAATTTGATATATGGTGTCAGCCAATGGGTAGTTTCAGGCGGCCATGACAGCAAGATAATTAATAATAAATACTTTTTTTTAATAGTTTATAACCCCTACTTTTATGTATAACAAGTTAAAAGTAAATAAAATAAGTTGTCTAATTAAAAATCTATCTTAAAAAAATAATGAATATATGGTACTAGCTCTTTGGGTGAAAATTTCTCAACTGTTTCACCTAAAAATGACTTTTCAAATTTAAAATATTTTTTTTAATAATCTATTGCAGGAAGCCGAATTAAAAACATTCCTGAAATGCGATTTTTAAAAAATTAATTTTTTAATTATTTATTAACAATTGAATATTTTGTTACCTTTCCACTAAATTTGCAATTACACTGTTGCATGTTAATGAAAATTAATAAAATTTGGTGAGTATTTTATTATTTAACAATCATATAACTTTTAATTACAACTGCCATTACAACAGTCATTGCCACAACAGTCATTGCCACAACAGTCATTGCCACAACAGTCATTGCCACAACAGTCATTGCCACAACAGTCATTGCCACAACAGTCATTGCCACAACAGTCATTGCCACAACAGTCATTGCCACAACAGTCATTGCCACAACAGTCATTGCCACAACAGTCATTGCCACAACAGTCATTGCCACAACAGTCATTGCCACAACAGCCATTGCCACAACAGCCATTGCCTCAACAGCCATTGCCTCAACAGCCATTGCCTCAACAGCCATTGCCGCAACAGCAACTGCCTCAACAGCCATGGCAACAGCAGCAATTACAAGAACATCTTCAACCGCATCAGTGGTACGTGCAACAACTGCAACAGTCGATTACCACGCAACAACAGCTGCAACAGCAAGTCCAACAGCTTCAGTTGCAGCAGTAGAATAGCGCCCAAAAATCGCCGGCATCAACATCGACGCAGACAAATAAGAGCTTCCAAAATGTAAATGTTTAAATTAAAATTTGCATATATACTATTCTTTTTTAACTTTTCTTTTGAATTGAGCCGCAGCGTCCAAAGGGCGCATAATAATCTTATAAAAATCATAAATTAAATTTTTTATTTTAAAATATTCCATTTCAAAAAATTATGTTTTATATGAATTTTTAATTTTTGAATTATAATTTGACAGATTTTTTCTTAAACAAATTTTTACACAAAATTTTGAGCTTCCAAATTTGTGTTTATCAGAATTTTTATTTTACAGTCATTTAATTTACATGAATTTTTATTTAAAAGAAATTTCGTTCAATAAAATTTTATGTATTTCGAATTTTTAAATGACAGAAATTCTAATTCACCGAATTTTAATTTGTACGAATTTTTAAGACGTCGAATTTTCATTTTTTTTAAATTACAAATAGTGTATCAAACGATCAACAGTAAGATATTGATAAATAATTTTATAAATTGACCAATTAAAAATTATTAAGAATATATCGGTTGGTCAATTTTATAAATGCGCCGAAATCTTGCTGTACACTGCTTGTTTAGTCGTTTGTAATTTTGGACAAATGAAATTTTGGTATCTTAAAAATTCATAGAAATTAAAATTCTGAAAATTTTAATTTATGTCATTTAAAAATTTGAATCACATTAGATTCGATTAAATAAGAATTCTGTTAATTTAAAAATCATTTAAAGAAAATGACTATAAAATAAAAATTCTGCCAAACCAAAAAAAAATAATTATTTTTGATAAAATATTTAAAAAGAAAAATTTTAATTAATTATTTTTATGGGAAAATTCATGCGCCCCGCTTGCAGTAACACCAACGCTCGTACTATGGGTCCTAAACGCAATATCTGTTTGGTGTTGTGATTTGGAAACGAGTAAAAGTTCTGTCACACGACTTTTGGAAACAAAATTTTTGTCTTTCTCTCTCCTATTGAAAGAGGCATTTATTTGTTTATATTGTTTTTATTTGTTTCACTCGGAATTTTCCGTATTTGGGAATAGTAAAAAAAATGGAAAGTAAGACAAATTTATGCGACTGTAATAGGAGAGAGAAAGGCGAGAATGGTTTTTAAAAAATTGGTTTGACCGTACCCAAACGAGACAGACCAATAAATAGACTAGATTCTATCCTCCTCTACACAACTCGAAGTATAAATTGCGTATGGGATGCTTATTCTGTAGATTATTAATATTACAGAATATTCATTTGTTCGACTATTAATGTTTTAGAAAATGCAAATAGTCGAAAATGAATATTCTCCAAAATTAATAATCTACAGAATAAGATTCTATCAAATCATAATTCAAAAAACATTAATTTTACGGCTTATTCATGAGTTGAAAAATTATAATAATAGTAATAATAATAATATAAATAATAATTTTTAACTAATTTTTACAGTCGCTAAGAAAAATGGAAGGACGTGTTCTAGAGTTGGAGAGACAAGTACGAAAACTAAAATTGGACATTAGAGATTTGGAGAGTGAAAGGGAGAAGAAGAGAGAAAGAAACCGAGAGAGGGACCGTGAAGCTGAGAGAAGAAAAAGAGAAAGAAATAATTATTAATATTTAATTTAATATTTAATATTTTATTATTAATATTTAATTTTGTAAGAAAAATTTACATATAAAATAAAAAAAAATTATTATTTGAAAATTAGTTTTTTAATAAATAAAACAAACTCCTGTGCATTTATTTTATACATTAATGTTTTTTTGTGTTAGAAAATTAAAAAGTCAATTATAATAATAATAATGAGTTTTCAGCAATAAAATCATATACGAAAAAACTGTATTCAATTATAAATTGTTTAATTACAAATTAACATACATATATTTATTTATTTATTTATTTATGATTTTGAACAGCCCATAATTACAATAATCATTTAAGGGTATTAGTGGCATACATTCGAAAAAGAAATAATAATACATATAAATGTCAAACAAAATATTAATCATATTGATACATAATTGTATAAAATAAAATTCAAGTTCTAATATTAAAAAAAGTATCATTAAGTAATTTATTTAAGTTGGTCGCTGGTGTATGGAAAATATCAATAATGCAATTCTTAGAACAGATCAAATTTACGTCATTTGTTGCTTTATATATAGGTGCATGAAAAGCTATAGGAATTTTTAGTAATTTATTATCAAAAGGTACACGAAATCTTGAGTTTAAACGAGGAACACGAAGATTTAACATATTTAATAATGCAGAGCAATCAATTAAATTATTCAGTAAATTATATATAAATTTAAAGTTAATCATAATACGACGTTCTTCGAAATTCAGAACTCCAAACCGTTTACATAATTCCAGATAATCCACGTTCAGGATATACTTGAGTTTCTATAAAAATACAGAACTTGAGGAAACGTTTCTGTAACTTCTCGAGTAGTTGTTTATTTTTTTTTAAAAGTGGATCCCGCAAAATAGATGCATATTCGATTATTGATCTTACAAAACTGTTAAATAAAGATTGCAAGATTTTTATATTTCTAAAATTTTTTGTATTTCTCATCAAAAGTCCCAAGGCACGTGAAGCAGATTTATTAATATTAATTAGATGTAAATTAAAGTCCAAATTTTCGGTAAAAGTTACTCCGAGATCACGAATAGTATGTTTTCTAGTAATTTTCGTATCTGCAATATAGTAATCATTAATTATAGGTTCAATGTTTTTATAATAAGTTACAACACTACATTTATCTGGGTTCAGTTGCAACTTATTCTGATTACACCAAATATTTAGGGAATTTAAGTCAGTTTGCAAGCGTAAGAGGTCCGTATTAGAATCGATTCTTAAATAAATTTTAAAATCATCAACAAAAAGAAGGTTTTCAGATGAGATAATGTCTGCTACGTCATTTATATATAGTGTAAATAGAACAGATCCCAAGACTGAACCCTGCGGAACACCGGATGTAGGAATAAATGCATGGGAAGAGTAGCCCTCATATTGAACAATATGATTGCAGGGTTGATATCAGGTCATTAGGAATGTTATACTTAGTCAATTTTTCAATCAAAATAATATGATCAACCTTATCAAAAGCCTTGGAAAAATCTGTATATATAACATCAACTTGTTTGTTTACAGATAATGCGTCATTAATATATTGGGCAATGTTAACTAGACTAGTAATTGTAGATCGTTTCGGTATACAGCATTTAAATATTTAACTACAGACTTTTCAAAGACCTTTGCAAAGTTATTAATTACTGAAATTGGGCGATAATTTTTCATTTGCTTGATGTCACCCGATTTGAAAACTGGTACCACTTTAGTGGTTTTCCAATTATCGGGAAAGTGACCCGTCTGCAAAATGGCATTGAATAATTCACACAAAAAATCAGAAATACAACAAGAAAGATCTTTTAACATAAAAGAAGGAATCTTATCAATGCCCGCCGTTAAGGTTGATTTCAATGATTTTATAGCAGAACTCACATCACTTTCCGTCAATTGAAGATCAGCATTTGCATTGGGGTTAATGATTATATTCGAATTATGGTTATTGATAGAGCTAGGATTGTAAACAGTGTGAAAAAAATCAGCAAAATTGTTGACTATTGATTGATAATCATTTAAAGTTAGAGAAGATGTCATCATTTCTGTTGGTAAACGTGTTTTATTTTGTTTATCATTAAAGGAGCTCCAGAATGCCTTTGGATTAGTGAGAAATAATTTTTCGCGTTCTTCCTGATATAGTTTAAATGCATCTTTAATTCGTTTTCTCAAGTTCTGCCCAAACGTCTTTATTTCATTTTTTAAATATTCAGTAGGCTGTAATTTGTATCGCTTATAAATTGTATGTTTTAATTTGATATCATTGATAATTTCAATAGAAAACCATTGAGGAAATTTATTATTTAATTCAGTGGTTTTTTGGAAGAAAGGAATATGTTTATTCATTAAGTTATTGAAAATTTCGGTTAAGAAATTTGCAGAACTATCAATATCATGGATATTGGTTTGTTTTGAAAATTGTAATGTTAAAAAATCAGCATAAAGATTTTGATAATCCGCTTTTTTGAAATTAAAACGCCTGTCAGTTGATACAGAATCTAGAGTAAATAAGTTTGAATTTACATTTACTCTATAATTTAATTGAAAAGATAGTGGTGGGTGATGTTTATCTGGAAGAACAATCGGAAGTAAAGCTTGTGAAGTTATAATAGAATCAGAGTAAAATATTAAGTCTAAAGTATTATTATTATTATTTTTTATAAAATTGAATTGTTTTAAGTTAAAGAATGCACTGAAAATTTGAAGTGTTTCGGCTTTTTTATCGGAAAAACGTGAATTTGAATTAATAGAATGTAAATAACCATTATATTGTGGCACATTGAAATCGCCAATTATGAGTAATTTAGATTGCAATAAACAATTTTGATCTTGTAAATATTCAAAAAGTCCACTAAATAAATTGTTAGATAGAGATGGTGGAATATAAATTAAAATGATAATTGAACAGTGATTAATACTTATCTTAACTGCGACAAGACTTACCACATCATGATAAATATTTGGTAATTTTAAAGAAATAGGAGTAGTACGAATGGTGGAAGAAATTGCTAATTAAACACCACCACCTTTACGCGAAATTCGCTCGTCTCGAAAAATCGTGAATTCATATGGGTGAAAATAATTGTTAATATTTATTTCAGAGGTAAGCCATGTTTCAGTCAAAGCTAAAATATTGTAAAGATGAAAATCTTGAAAACTAGAAATTGAAAAAAGTTTTGAGTTTAAACCCCTGACATTTTGATAAAAAAACTTTAGTTGCTTGATGCTGGAATTGGATCTGGAACTGTTTGATGAATCTTGACGATTTTGGGAAAGCCTTGAATATATCGTATGGGGATGTTCGTTTCTCCATTGTCCATTCTGTTGATTAATGCAATTTTCAGTTCTTTGAATTGTTGTTGTTGCATCTTGGTTGTGTCTGCAGTGGTGATGGTGTCCTTAAAAAGTGGTGATAATTTTAAGTTTTCTTTTGAAGTTTTAGCTAACTTTATAATGTTGGTAGCATGCTCTAGAGATTTCAAGAATAATTTGAGAGGTCGAGGATTCTCTCTTGCTATAGAGAATTTTCCGACGCGAGATAAAGAAAAATCATATAATAATTCCGATTGTGTGGAAATGTAATTAAAAAAGTCAGAGATAAATTGTTCGTCTTTTTCTAGAACATATTTATTATTTTCAATAGGTTCAGGGATTCCGAAAAGAATCACATTATTTTTTATTTTAGAGCGTAACTCAAATTCTCTAATTAAAGACAAACTAAACTGATCAGATTGAGGCTGAGATTGCTAAACCTTAGTTAATTGGGACTCCAGGGATTCAATGCGTGTATTATTGCTAGCTAGGTTTACTTCCATGGTTGTTAAATATTGATTGTACTGAGATAAATCTTTTTGAAGTTGGGAAACAGATTTCTCCAATTTGCCAAAACCTCCAATCATTTGTTTTGACATTGTTCTCAGATCCTGAGATAAGGACTTTAATAAAGTGTCAGAATTGTTTAATGTGTTTGATTTTGAATCAGTACCGCAGCACTTGCTATATCCAATTCCTGGGATCAACATTGTTTTTTTATCAGCACAATTTTTATGATAATTTTTATTAATTAGGTTAAATAAATTTTAGATATTTGAAGTTCTGAAAAAAACGATTACCTATTTTCTGATTTAAGTCAATAAAAAAAAGATTACATAATTATTTTTTAAAAATATCTTTGATATATTCAGACCTCGGATCAACTATAAGGAAAAAAAAAGTTTTAATAGTTTTACGTTTAATCGTCTAAAATATATTCAACGTAATTATTACATTTGCTAATTTTTAGTTGCACAATTTATAATTAAATCAATTTTTTTCGTATCTGATCGTTATTTATGTACATGCGAAAATAGAAATAAATGCTGTTAATAATATTCTATGGTTTTCACTGGAGATACAATTTTAAAAAAAAGTTACACTAATTTATTTTTTACGTCGTTTTTTATGTCTATTTTAATATAAAATACTATTTAATTAAATCGAATAATAATAAAATAATTAAATAAGTAATTATAAACTTGAAAACAATGATTTTCATAAAATTATAACACACCCTGTAATCAACTTTCCTTGTAGAATAGAACATTTCATTTCTGAAATGAATGTTTGATGTTTTAATTTCGATTAATTTTTAAAATTTTTATAAAATATATGGGATATTCCACGTCAAGCGGACCAAAGCTATGCCCATAATTATACGCAATATAAATAAACTTATAATATATGAAAATCTTCGTACACATGTAAAGTTTCAAAAAATGAGTGGCATATTAAAAACTTTATAATAATGCTTTTGTTATAACAATTATAAACCATCATAAATGGAAATGCGTAAGTAAAAAACTTTCTCATTTAAAGACAAAAATTTTAAATTCTAAAGTCATTGTTGTTTTTAATGTTTTCGGGTAGCTGATTACGAATCTAATGTCACAATTAAAAAATTCAAAATGGCGGATCCAATATGGCGGCCGAAT